ATTTTTTATGTGGTCCATCTTGAAGAATATTGAGGATATAGAGACAAGTGTGGCTTTGCTTTCATTGTGAAGTTTCCATCTTCCCCCCTTGCCCCGGCCCCTGGATGTACATACACCTCCATGGTTCCTTTCTTTGTCATCCCATTGCTTGGGTTTTTTCCCCAGTGTCTTTTATCTTTTGAGTAAAGTTTGAACAGTACGCAGAAAGTTAACTGCCTGGAGTCTTTTAAATATAAGTAACACGCACCCAGTAATAAGCTGTCGGTTGTTTTTTTGCTGCCTGCAAAGAAACATAAACACAGCGCTCATTTCTGGCAGGTTTTTACTGTCAGAGTTTCTCCTATTATATTTATCTTACAATTTGCCAGGGGGTGAAGTTATTAAGTTTTAGCAGCAGCCATCGATCAAGTTCACAAGTTAACACGATAAAGGCTCTGTGCCGCTCCGATCCGGGAAAATGATGATCCTCACTCGGTAATTAACTAAATGAGAAAGTTAAATCTTACTTGAGAGCTGGGAGAGATGAAAGAGAGGTGTTTGTCAGTTTCTCAGTGGAAATTAGAAGCAGTTTTCTGCAATTCCCTAAGCTGCTGCTCTGTCATATTTTACATAAGCACTGGGAAAACGTCTTGTAATTAGTGCTGTCATGGAGGATTTTTTTTGCTGAAGGATGTTGGAATAATTCATTAGATTATCAAGAAAGGCTTGTGTCCTGAAATGATTAGCACAGTGAAATTTAAACCATTAACGATAACAAGTTTAGAGCTTGCTGCAGTGCAGAGGCACCCGGGGTATGTCTGTGCCTATTTCAATCATTTCTTATAATTAAACATTATGTCCTCTTTTTTCCTCCCCTTCACTAAGACCCATCCAAATTCCTGTTAAGGTGGCTCTGTCTAGATCAGTGACTTAAACCACAATGGGTGGTGCAAGCAGTTGGAGGTAAAATGCTGCAGTTGCAGAGAAGTAGTGGAGGACATCTCTCTGTGTCAGAGCCTGTAGTCCCAGTGAGTCCCAGAAGGAGGGGAGAAGCACGCTATGGCCTTTCGGTACTGGAATGTGGAAGGGAAGTTCCTTCCTTTTGTCTAGGGAGAAATTGAAATTTGCAGTAGTGTCTAATCTCTCGGTCTTTTCAGAGCTTCAACATGAAGATGTCTTGAAGGTTCAGAAGATCCCAAACCTTGCAGTGGTCATTTAAGCCATTCTTGATATTCTAGGAGACAACTTCTCTCTCTCTTTTTTTTTTTTTAAGGGATGTCTTCTTACCTTAAGAAACATGTAACCTAAATTCATCTACCCTTTGGAAAGTGCCTGAACAAAGTCCTCTTCTGTGATTAGAGGATACGATGGTTTTTTTTTAAAGATATATAAAAGTTGTGACACTCATATGGGTGGGTAAACACTATTGCTATACTACAATCAGAGAACTGTGCTTGTCTTTATTTTTCTGTGCTTTAGGAGGCTCCTTGGTCCCCTCTACTGAACAAAAACAAAAGTAACCTTTGTTGTCATATATGGGTTACAGCTGAGATATACCATAGCTGTTTCGTTTTGTATGCATAACACTAGATTTTTCCAGTCTTTATGTATCTGTGTTGAAATATTACACCTTCCTATAGTTGCAAGCCATTATTTAGATTAAAGTCCTTTCATATATTAGTCCTCTTCTACTTCACTGGGCATACAAATGTGCTTTGTGTTAAATGTAGCCATTTGGAGAAACGGTCTTGTAATTACGGGCTGCAGTGGAGCATAGTACGTAGATCCCTGAGCTAGTACCAACCTGAGGCACTCAATCCCCCTGGGTTTCCTGGCACAGCTTATGAGCTCAGGATCATGGTTGTAGGAGGACATCTCTACTGTTGCTGCAGATGAGTCATGGTGTCCAGAGCCAGCTGGGGTACCTCTCAGCCCTCACGTACAGGGCTTTGTGAAAAGGGAGTCAGTAAAGCTTAATCTGTTCCAAATTAGTAGTTTGCTCCGCTATACCCAAATTTCCTCCCAGATGATGGACGACCAGTGGTTATTCTTCTTTGCCACATTTGGAAGTGAAGCTTATAAAAATCATGACTGTATATAGTGCATTTGGATGGATATTTACCCTAGCAGTATGGATGGCACGTGGAACAGGTTTTTGTTTTTCAGGTGAGGCCTGATTACTGTACCAGGAGAGACTGTAGACAATTTAATAATAAGATGCTTGATGTCATTGTTTTTGTTGATGCTTTTTTTTTGCTAACAGGCCTTTTTCACTGAACTGCCAGTGGATTTTCAGGAATCTTCAAATTGAAATTCTGGAATTTTTGTTCTGAACTGTAGTTTGAGTGATTTGGGAGCCAGTTTATCTGTCTCTGCTCTGCAGAACTGGTGTGTTTCATGGCATGCCCTGTCCTCTTGGTCCTGTGCTTGCATAGACCACAGGATCTGCTGGGCATACTGTGGCTGCCTCTGAGCTTGTCCTCACTTCTTTAGGTGAGAAACCAGAGCAGACAAGGGTGCAGGTCTCAAGTTGCATTGTAATAATGCATCTAAAGTATCAACCTAAAACATACAGTGTTCCCATGTCTACCAGTTCGGACATAAACACTGTAATGTGTTCTTCTTAGCAGAACCACATTATAAACCTGGAGTTTCACTTCCAGAGCTGTTAAAAGTGTTGGTCAATGGACTCCTTCTGTTACTCATTATTCCTATCAAAGAAGGCTGAGTTCACTTGGGATCCATCTATCTGTACGCACACAAGCCATCACTTGTTTCTGCAGATGTTCCAACTTCTGTTTGATACTCCAAACCAATGCTTTAGAGGTAACTGGGAAGCTGAAGGCTGCTGGGAGAGGGGAGCTCAGAAGGCAAGGAAAGGCCAGAACGTGGTGCCACCCCAGGAAAGGAGCTGCACCTTTGTGGCCTTTGCGCATCAGTTGTCTACTCTGCTCAGGCTCAGTGTGTTAGTCAGACTTCACAGTCTCTCAAATTAAAAGGCAGACGTATAGGTTTTTAAAAAATGCTTTGTAGAGACACCCTGTGTTGTGAGATGCACAGCAAACAAAATGGGAAACTAAATGAGATCAAGCTTTTGGGATGCAACATTTCCCCACTGTCTTAATCCAGCATTTTTACAGGGATGTCTGTTTTGCCAAAAATGACCAGAATCGCTTGACACAGATGTTCAGTGCACTCCACTGGGTAATCAATTTTTGCCAGGCTGTTGACCACTGTGGACTTTGCTAGAAAAAGTCCAGTCTTTTACGAATAGGACTTCATGCCCATAGTCCCTTTAGTGATTTCTCTATATAAAAAGTTGGCCCAAGAGAGAGTTTTTCTTTCCTGCTGCTCTGCAGTCAGTATTGTCCATGTGATAACTGAATGAAAGTGTAACTCATAGTCCTTGTCTTGCATGATCTTAGTGAACACAGAAAGCCACAGCCACACATTTGCAGGGAGGAGCGGGGATAAAAGTAAGGTTGAAAACATTGGGCTGCAGAACTGAGCACTGATGGTGTGATCACAATGTTCTATGTTCTCAAAGAAACTTAAATCATAATCCAGAAATTGAAAAAAATGGTTGCTAAAAATCACAGCTAATTACTGTCTTTTTCTATCAGAGAAGGGTCTGTCCAGCTCTGCTAGAAATGTCAAAAAGACTATTTAGGTGCATTTTCTCTAGAAAATGAAGTATATATGGTTGAGTAGATTTTCAAATTATGAGGTTTTCGGTGTTCCAAAGTCAGGATTGCGGTTGGGCTTGAGAGGTGTTGAAGTTCAGGAGTTATTTACTCCCGAGAAATGAGAAATTCCTGCATTCCAAACCCAGTACTGGTAGCTAGATTTTGTGGTCTCTAAATAGCCTGCTGCTTTGGCACTTACTGAAAAGAGGCTTTTTTAGTTGTTTTTTTCTTTTCCTGTAAAATCAGTTAATCCTTGCATTTCATTTAGTTCATTAGATATCTTTGCAGAGAGATTTAGGGACTCATTTTTCCTTTAAATTTAATGAAGTCTCCTGGTGAGGTTGATGCTTGGAATTATTGTAGAACAGAAACATAGCATCCCTACATCAGTGTTTTATGTGTTCTGATATCTGCAATTTATTTTTAATTATTTGATAATTAATAAAGAACCTCTAAATTTATTTTGTCAATAAAAATGATGTAATAATATTGACTGTTATTATAATGCTGTCTGGTGTTAAACTGTTGCAATGAAAGAGAAAAAATCTCATGTTTTCAGCATTTAATAAAAACTATTTGACCGATACAGCAAAAATTCATTTCCCAGCAAACAGTTAATCTTACTTGGACAAAAGATATCCTTGCAATGCAAAATGTGCACTTTTCTTCCAGTTAAATCATTTAGAAAGCAGAATTATGTCTTGCTATCAAGTTGTAAATTGAAACGTCAGTGTTTTGTTTTGTCCCTGAAACTCTTCTTTGAGCTGACTCCTTCTGACAAGATATTAACAGTGCTCAGAAAGCTGAAAATATTTTATTCTATGAAAGAAGTATATACCAAATAGCAGGGTGTATTTTTGATGGCTTTCCTCTCGAGGTGTAATTCAATTTTTTTCTCATCCATTTCACACATTCCCTATGAATTTTAGCAGCAATCCATTCTTTAGGGAAAAAAAAAACAAACCAGAGTACAAATACAGTTTTCTGTTGGTGCTTTGAAGTAACAGTAAATGTAGATTAGGAATCCAAATACGTTTTGCTGTCTACATGATAAATAAAATTGTGTGTATGTTAAACTGCCGCTCGGGGTTTCCCATCTAACCAGAGTCCTTTGTGTGCAGCTCTGGCATGAGCCGGTGCATTGTCCTGCAGGGGCCTCGGCTCGCCATGGCTGCGCTCCAGCTGACAGCACCAAATGGGATACGTGGTCCCGGCCAGCTTTGTGTATCAGAGTGCTTTTTTCCTTCTGTTGTCTTCCCCCTGAAATACTGTAAAACTGCTTGAGTTTCTTTTCATCTATGTGATTTGGGTTGTTTCTCTCCTCCCTGTTTACAGACTAAACTTGCCAATGGCACTTCCAGTATGATTGTGCCCAAGCAAAGAAAGTTGTCTGCAAGCTATGAGAAGGAGAAGGAACTCTGCGTGAAGTATTTTGAACAGTGGTCCGAGTCTGACCAGGTGGAGTTTGTGGAGCACCTCATCTCCCAGATGTGTCACTACCAGCATGGACATATAAACTCATACCTCAAACCCATGTTACAGCGGGACTTCATCACTGCGCTGCCAGGTATTTCTGCAGGCACAGGGAACTTGCTCTTTGTCTTTCAAAACACTATTCCACTCTGGCCCACCCTGCTGGAGAGGTCTCCACTAGGGTCAGTTTGCAAAATAGATGATAACTTTTGAATGAAAGGCTCTATACCAGTATGAAATTTAGCAATATTTTAATTTGTATTCCTGCTGTCTCTCAAGGCACAGTCCACCATGGTTTGGCTAGGAGCAAGGGATAGCTCATCTACGTATCGTAACAATAGTTATCACGAGCCACAGGGCAGGTAGTTGTACTCATAATGCCCATAACGATGCATGAATAACGAAAATTTTTAAAATTAAAACTACTACTCTTCCTGGTTGCTCAACTAAGGTTTTCCCCATTCATATTTAGATTTTTTTTTGTCTCTCTTTCCTTGTAAAATAATTTCCTGAATCCATTGCTTTGATTATGAGTTTATTGCTAATAGAAAATGGAGGGCATAAGATCAAAAGATGGAAATGTTCTATTTTTTACATCTCTGTAGTGCTTTCCATTGAAAATATTATCCCAGCTGTTCTCAGATGTGGCATTGGGCATATCTCACAGAATGCACACATAAAGCAGTGTACGTGCAGTTTTATATTGGCCCCATTTTACAGATGGGAAAACTGAGGCGATGGGAGATCAAATATATACAGCGATAGAGTTTCAGAACCAGACAGAAATTCCTGGATCTTTGGCTGGTTTTTTTCAAACTATTAGATGATAAATAGATAGATAGGTAATAGATTAGCATTCCCATGCTATAGGTCCTCAGCAGGATGGACCTGAGCAAGAAGTGTTACAAGTGTTGTCTCTAAATAGCTAATTGAAGAGAGGAGTTTCTTGCCAAGAGCTTCTTCTGTGAATACCTTCGAAGAAGTGCTGAACTGTTGGCAATTTGTTCAATCCAGTCATTGATTATTCTTCAGAAGGCAGTTCTCAACGTGAAATTTAAATTTCAGGGTTAAAAGATGGAAAAAACTGTGTTTAACTGAGAATTGTACAAAGCATAAAGGCACTGCAAGAGTTTTGCCATCAAGTTAAATAGGTAGACTCATTGGATTTTAAGCTCATTGTGCCCAGTAATCAAATGGCTGTTGTAGCATTAAAAAAAAAATCTTAGTTATGCTAAGTACCTGCTTTATGTTAGTTTTTAGTAGTCCAATGGCAATAATCTCATGTACTTAGAGCAGCATTATAACTTGTGGAGCTGTTCTTTTTCAGAAAAATAGAAAGTGTTTTGAAAGTGCATTGGTTTCCCCACTTTTAAAGTGGAAGTATACATATAATCACATACACAATTTTTCCAGGACTTTCTCCATGAAACTCCATAAAAGCAAGCCAACACATCTCGTTGCACTTGCTAATTTCTACCTACAGGCTTTTTTCTGAAAATTTTGGGCAAATGTTATAAATATTTCCAGAGACATTCAAAATTTACTGTCCATATGTACCATATTTGTTAGTGGTCTGTTCACAGTTACCCAGAAAGCAGCTAATTTTACTCTATCAGAATGTAGAATAAATAGGAATCAGGCAGCTAATTTGTGAGTATTTTAATAGTTGTGGGAAGTGTGTGTGTAAATAATGTATGTGCATCAATTTGCATATTTGCAAATGCAGATGTCCTCGTGAATATAGCTGTAAGGGAGAAAATTAATGGCTAGGAATTACACTGGCACAGATCCTGCAGTCTGTGCTGGATGTCCTGTGTATAGGCAGGTTTCTAAAGAGAATGGGAAAGGGCAAAGGTAAGAAACTGCCTAGGAAAGAGTGATGAACCTAAAATTCTACATTAAGTCATATAATAAAAAAAATGTATACTCTATAAGTATATTTTAGCTTTCTAAAATTCCCAAGTGTTCGGTATTGTGGTTTCATTTTTACTCCTTCGTTTTTTCTCCTGCTCTCCCACTTGAGTGAATAAAACAATAAAGCTGCTTCAAAATCATGAGGCATCTTATCTCTGTCCTCCTAGCACTGTCCCAAAGAATGACCGGAATTAATGGTAGTTTTAGATTATGAGCATGTTTTACTAGTATAAAGTTAGCTAAGATTATTTTCCCAGTTCTTTGAACAGAATTAAGGTTGTTTGAAAAATACGGCTTAACTGTGTACTTAACAAAGTTTGTTCAGTTTCTGAAAAATAAGACCTCTGCTTAGCATTTTCAAGCTGTTTAACGTTTTTTATGAGGAAAGTCATTTTGATAAGGATTTCATGTGTGAAATAACTGGAACATTCTCGATGGTGTGGAGGCCTGAAGGGCTAATCGTGTTTCACATTCATTTAGCAAAAACTTCTTTGAGCATAGTTTTGTCTTTTTAAGGAAGCAGTGCTTTGTTAGATATATGTCTCAGTGAGTTGTGCTGTTCCTAAGAAACAAAATAATAAAATTGAGTTTGCAGCCAGGCCAAAATAGCTCTGCTCATCCACTTATCATAAATGTGAGGAGGAGAGGCCAAAACATTAGTGTTCCTTCTCTGTGAAGGGTCTAATATCAATGGCAAAGGATGACTAACAGACATGGAAATAGTTACAGCACCTCATTGCAGCAAGATCTAAAGTGCAACTACTAATGAACCAGGAAGGGCACATGAGTGAAGATTACTGTGCCCAGTTTGTACAGTGTAGCCCTGCTTCCTAAAGCCACCAGTTGTTCTCCACATAGAATAAATTCCTGCTGTGACACTGCTGACTTAAAGCCACCAGTGTGGATGCTACACAGGCATGCATTTGTAAATGTTCTGGTGGGTCTGTGGGCCCACTGGAAGCAACACAGACTATGAAATAAGCCATTTCCACCCAATGGAGAGAGCTCAGAGCTGCAGGTGTCAGGCTGCAGAAGCAGGGCAACATGATTTCCACGTCTACCCTCCCAAATTGTGGAATTCTTGCAAGTTCAAATTCAGTAAAATTTATCTCTCTTTCCACAGTTTGCTGTACAGTCAGTCTAAATTTACAAATACTCATTTTTTTTCAGAATTTTAAATAGTGGTTGTACATATCTTTCCATATTGAATACATAATAAAGGCTGCTGAAGCTTTTATTTTGCAGGTTGACATCTATTTTTGCATCTGTAAAGATAAGAAATGTCAGGCCTCTTTCTGCACTCCCTGGTTGTGCATGGTGTCATTCACATGCTTTTTCTACGTACAGATTGAAGTATAAAATGATGGACAGAATGTCACACCCAAAGTGTATTCTAAATTTGGATTCTTTGAAAACAGCAGGAGGAGGCATACTGAATTTTCTTGTTTTCGTGCACTGGGAGATAATTGTGAGATCTTTTGGTTAAGGAAAACAAAGCTTTGGCCATTTGTGTGTCATGAACTCTAATCAGAATCAGCTGGTCACACCCAATTTGCGTTTGCAGAAATACAGACATGTGACTATTAAAATGCACTTACTACTTTTTCTTTCACTGTCACAAGCAGGGCCTGGTCTTTGAGGCTGTTCTTTTAAAAGCAAGAAAACATGTATTTAACTTTGTCTCAAATGTGAGTCAGAGGGAAAATGCATGTAATACCAATCTGCCATGCTTCCTTTTTGGTTGGACTGGACATTATGCCTGAGGGGCAATGCAACCTAAACTACAACTTTCACAAAGCCTCTGAAATTTGACTTGTGAAGTGAGATAATCTCTTGGTGGCATGTCTCACTCATGAATTAAACAGCCTCCAAGAGAAGCTGTGTTTATGCAACTTCTCATTTAAAAGGCATCTTATTTTCCTGAAGTCTTGCTGGTGATTAAATTTGAGTTGGTAAGGGCACATTTTTACTAATTACATCCATCCAGTTAAGAAATACAGCATAACCTTTCCTGACCCCAGCTACATTGAGCTGCTTGGTGCTAACCAGGCAATTGCTTTACCTTTCACTCCAGCCATGTTGAAGTAGAGCCAGTCTTGGTAGTCACACTGGAAAATATTTGCAAATTATATCATTTTGGTGCTTATTTTTCCTTCACCCTCTAAAATAAATGAAACTAGCAAACCTGCTTCACTTTTTCCTTACACAGCCTCTTGTTCCCTCTTGACATCCCTGTGCATCTGCATATCCTTCCCTCCCCCATGTCTAAAGGTACCACTACCCTTCAGGGCACACATTGGGAATATATATTTTTTTCTTCATTACGTTTAAAAGCTACTGCTTTAGCAAAAACAGCTTTTGAGCCGTTGCAGCATGAGAACAGCTGTAGCAGTGAGATGAGAAATGGTCCTAATATAGAGAGATTTTGGGGGCTGCGTTGCTGAGTTGGAAATGCCATCCATAGAATATCCCCCTAGTGCTAAAACCCATTGAAATAGATTGGAATGACTTCTTGGATTCTTTATTATTTTTAATGACTTGTTGTGCTATATCCAAAGGAAGTTGGAGAACACTGCTCACTCCTGAACTTAGCCTCAAATGCTCTTCTGTGCATTTGGTCCAGCTCTGCATGCAGAAGAGGAGATGGAAGGAGAACGTATCTTTGTACTAGCAAGGGGAATTCTTTTAAACTCCATGTCTGCCCAGCAAATAATCTTTTGTTGTTGTTGTTGTTGTTGTTGTTCTCCCCCAGCTCGGGGATTGGATCACATTGCTGAGAACATTCTGTCATACCTGGATGCCAAATCGTTGTGTGCTGCTGAGCTGGTGTGCAAGGAGTGGTACCGGGTGACGTCGGACGGCATGCTGTGGAAGAAGCTCATCGAGAGAATGGTCAGGACAGACTCCCTGTGGAGAGGGTTGTCAGAGAGGAGAGGATGGTGAGGAAACTGCATTTTCACCTCCTTTGGCCCCATTCAGGACAGTAGGTGCCGTGCGTTTCAAACCCTATTCGAAGACGGTTATTTAGCACACTGAAACATCATGTTGGTTCCAAACCTGACAGTTCCTTGAATCAAAAATCAGGGGTTGGGGAGTTAGGGCATTATTTGGCTATGCAGGCAATGTGGGGGATTTTTCCCTCACCTTCCTCATCTGATCATGCTCTTGTCCCACTGTGAGAAGGGAGATATACAGACTGAGATTTTTACACCCAGCTGTCATTCAGTTCAAATTAAGAAGCTGTGTATGCCTCAGGGGAACCCTAAAGTGGTCAGCAGTTCAGAGCAGAAGAGCTTTTTTAGGGGTGGCAGTGGGGCAGCATGTGCTATGAATTAGTTGACTCCTGATAGGTCTGTTTGTTTTCCTCAGCAGATTTTCACTATTAGATATCTGTTTAATTTTCAAACTGGAAGCTGAGGGTATGTACCACGGAGAATAGGGGACTTAAGAAATGCAGATAGATTAGTTAATAATCATCTGGAATAGCCTTACTACAGTGTAGGTCTCACTCAAGTTTGAAGCTGCTCTGCTAACATTTCATTAGAACTTTCTCTCTCAGGGGTATGTCCTTTAATACATAATTTTCTTTTCCAAGGGTGTCCCTAGGATGTTGGCAGAAAGGAAACTGGGTATGAATATTTCATAAACAAGATAAAAGTGACAGCTCAGGCATTTTGGTTGCTATTAAAAAGAAAAAGATACAGAGTTGCAAACAAAGACTCCTGGTCTATAGTTAATTTTGTTATACTGTTTGTCTCAGGAAGTAAAGGCAAGTAAATCAGGATTATGAGACATTCTTTAAAAATAAATACTATTTTGATCTGCTTCCAATAGTGCAATGTTTATAAAGAGTGTAAAATAAACACAAGCATAGCAGTGGTAACTTTTGCATTTCTTTTAGTGCCTTATTCTCTCTAGGACTTCCGTTTTCTCTTTGTATTGTTGAGGTCACAGTAAGTCCTAAGAGGACCTTGAGAGGTCATTTAGTCCCTCCTGTTTCCCATAGGGAGAGCCAGGTTTCTCTTCAGTCATCTCAGATGTTTGTCTTAACTTGTTCTTAAAAACCTTCACTGATGGAGATTCCCGAGCCATTGCTTGGAAAAGGAATTACACAGTATTTATTATTGTTGGGTATTTCTCCATTTTGTCTGGAATATTATGAATTTACTCTTGGCCTTCAAAGTGCCTGTAGCTTCTCTCAACTTTATCATTGGCCAGGTAATAAATGCATTCCCTGTTCCATTCTTTGTCATTAATGAAAATGCTCAATAATGACACATCTAGGACAGACTCCATGCAAGATCCCAGTTGCCATCCTGTTTGACAGTGCACCGTCGGGAAACTCTGCTTTCTAGCCATCTGTGTGTCTACCCTTGAGCTCTTCCAAGATGGTGCTTCTCTTGCTCAGTCTTAAGAGTAGCCTGTAAGAAGAAATTAGATCAATTTGACATGGTATATTCTGGATTAATCAGTGTTGCCTGCTCTTTGTCACGTTGTCATCATCTAGGCACTCATCTGACTGAGTATGTGCTCTAGAACAGCTAAACGGTCAAAGTTATTTGAGTCAGACAATCCACTATTTCCTTGGTGGACCTTATTCCCTTTTTTAAAATACAAGAGCTACATTTGTCTTTTTCCTGTTCTGTGGAGCTTTACCTATTCTCTACATCTTGTCATAGATCATAGCTGATAGTTCTCAAGTTGCTCCCTCCACACTCCACACTTTATGCTTGTGTTTATTTTACACTCCATTAGCACCAAGTGCTAATCATACAGACACAACATTTCTAAAAAACAATTGCAAAATTTTGCTTCTCCTCTCAAGGACAGTCTCCCCATTACTGCTTCTCTTCTTCAAGTTTACACTGGATTCTGGAGGTTGCTTTGATGCAACAGGAGCAAGTTGTGCTCAAGTGTTTCCTCTGGTTAGCTTTAGAAGATAGAACTGCGTGGTTAAGAGAGGCAGACAAGAAATATCCAATGCAATTGTATCTCTGCCACGTAGAGCTTTATAGCTTGTAATCAATGCTAACGCTGTACATGGCACAAGGAGATGACAAACTGAACAGTTCAGAAAGATAAATGACTGATGTTATTTGTTTACAGGTCCTCAATTTGCACATGGGCTGCCTGATTTCAGCATTTGCAGCTCATGGTTTACAACAGAAACCCCCCGTTCTGCAGCATGGCATCCTTCACTGACAGCTTGTCAGGGAGCAGGAAGGGTTACACAGATTTAGAGAAATATAAAACAGAAGCCCAAAATCTGGGCACAGTTGTGTCCATCTGATTGAATTGGCTGGTCATCAAAACCTGCAAACAATAGTTCCTTTTATCCCAGAGCTACAGCAAAACAGCTACTGGGATGCCGTGGAAATTCCAAACAGTCCTTTAGCTGAACAGTAAACAACTGACTCTACATGCAGCAAGGCAGGACTTTGTGTTACATTAGCTAGTAAAGTTAGAAACAATAGACAGGTTTTAGGCATATAGGCTTGTACACAGATTGTTGTAGACCTGCTCCAAGTGTTCCAGGATGTGTCCTAGATATTCTGTGTACCTCCAAAGCATTTTTCCTCTGCCTGAGCCAGTAACTTTAATTTTCATGAATGCACTTCCAGTCTGGATCACAGTAAATAGACAACCATCTATAGTTGGTGCTTTGTCTGCGTCTATGTGTTTGTTCCCATTTAAGTGTTTGCTGGTAGCTGTATTTGAAGAATTAGATGATTGCTCTGTCCAAAGTGGAAAGCACCTTTCTCTCAAGTTGTACGTAGAGTACTTTATTTAAAATAGTATCAAAAGTTCTTTTTTTGAGCATTTGTCATTTGGTTTATTCAGTCCTATAGTTTGCTACTGCTTTACAGCCTAAAAATTTAGTTCATTGTTGTGATCTCCCTGGTTCAAGTACATCAGGGCAGCTAATGTACAGTCTCTCAAATTAGTTTTGAGGTGTACAGTATGGAAAGGACAGGAAAGGAGTGTGCAAGGAAGTATTGAACAATTAATTATGCCGTAATGGAGTAAGGGAGGGAGAAGTGGAGAGCTCGCCCAGTGTAAACTCTGTGCCTCTGATGCCAGGATTACACTCAGAGGCATTTCTGCCTCTCTCCATTTTGTGAGGCATGTTGCCAGGCAGAACAGCAGTTAGTACGCCCATGGTGGGATTTACAAGCTTCCACACCGTGTTTGGTGGCTTCCTAACTTCAGGATGAGGAATTAAAGTTTTTTACACAGCAGGTAGTGATTGCCATTTACAGATTTTTTTGGTAGCAAAACTCTAGCTTGGGATATGAGTATTCCAAATCAGTGTTGAAATGAGGGAGGCACCACAGATGAAGTGTTGCTTACCAAAATACATTAGTAGCAGTAAAATGTCCAGGTACCCAAAGTGATACTGTTCCTGCTAATGCAGATAAAAGCTAACCTTGAATGCATAGTGAGTTTGAGTGTTCCTTGGCTTCTTTCATTTACTTTCTATGCTTTATTTCAAAGGTGACTTCTGATATGTGTATGTGTATTGCAGGCACAAGCCATTCTCAACTCTTACTGAGCTGAATGGGCCCATGTCCATAATAGAGAATGTATTTCCCTTACCTGAGTGACTAGACACAGATGTTTTTGCGGTATTTCAATGTTAAAATGCAACACTGACATGTTGCAGGACAAAGAAACAAGGAACCAGCCCATCTTATTGAGTGAATTAAGTTTAAATATGAATCTGTGCTTTCCAACAGTTGTTACCCATTTGTAAAATACCTTTCTTCAAAATGCTGAAGCATGATTTGTGTTCAGTGGAAGTGTTCTTTGTCTTTCAGGGGGCAATATCTATTTAAAAACAAACCTCCTGATGGAACTGCTCCACCCAACTCCTTCTACAGAGCACTTTATCCCAAAATTATACAGGACATAGAGGTAAGCTATCAGCTTCCAGATGTGGTGGTGGTTTGCTGTTGTCTTTTTGGTTTTGTTTTTTTCAAATGTCCCTGATTCATTCATGATGCTGAAATTCTGAGAATATTCCATTCTAATGAAATATGTCTTTAAATCCGATGTGTCTTTGTTTATCTGGAGTTTGTAGATCTGGGATAATTATATGAGGTCCCAGGCTTCGCTGCTCCTTTAGACAGAGGATGAGTTGGATTGTTCAGTGAGCTCTTGCAGGTGGAGTCTCTACACCTTGCACATCAAATGTCACAGCAGCACCATAATGTCTTAGTTTTCTCTGTTCCATGGTACTTTGCTCCACCCAGTGCAGATGAGACCTAATAAGCTGTTATGGAAAGATATCAAGAACTGAGCCAAGGAGAAAGTGCATTGCCTAAGACTGCAGTCCTAAGAGTCAGGGAAACAGGAAGCAACTGAGCATGGTTACCTTACTTTTAAAGTATGAGCAAAATGGCATGTTCTAGTTGTTTCCTAATGGCAAAAGCAGTGCTCAGGCACTGTTGTGATGAGTTTGTACAAGCACTTACAGCTCAACTGAGACATTCTCTTCAATTGTTTAGCTGTTGAGTCACAGGGGGTTAAAGGCTGGAGATAGAAAAAAGCGTTTAAGTTCCATTTTCCTCACCATTCCAGATAACATAGACCAGGTTAGCCATAAGATGTTTTCCAGGTATTTGTCTGTTTAATTGGTTTTATTACATGTGTTGCTTCTTCTGGAAAGTAGTTATGTCATTGTATGGGCCTGGTTGCAGGAAAAAGAGTGAAGAAAAGTGTCTGCTGTCTTCTCTGCCAAACAAAAAAAAAGGGGAAACAGTTCTGTGCTTTTTTTTTACATCTCATTTGTCTCCTGTCTCTCCTCAAGACAATAGAGTCAAACTGGCGGTGTGGAAGGCACAGTTTACAGAGGATCCACTGCCGAAGCGAGACAAGCAAAGGGGTTTATTGTTTACAGTATGATGATCAGAAGATAGTGAGTGGCCTACGAGACAATACTATCAAGGTGAGAATGCTCCATAATGGCATACTAGTGGTATGTGGTACCTATGCCATAAATAAGAGTGTCCTAATTTCAGTGACACCTACCCAATCTCTTGTTAGTAATCTAGCCTTCCCCTTCCCCCACCTCACACCTGCACAGCACGTATGCCTTTTTTATCTGGCTAGAGAGACCCTGTTTGCAGACAGACAGACTTTGCTAGCAGAGTTTTTGTTGATCAGTAATTACAGGCTATGTAATTACTAGGCCCTGTACCCTGATGAGAAGGGTAAAACTAATATTCATAGTAAAGCCAGTAATATCAAAGATATTAATCTGTTGCACCAAAGAGCCTGTAGAAGACTCTACAGGTGCCACTAAAGGTGTTCTAACTGCACTATTGATGGTGTGTTGTAGTAAAAAACAGATTAGTTAAACCAGTAAGTGCTGAAAGATGAAAACCTTACTGAGCTGTGTGGTTTTGAATGTTTGCTGTCTTAGATCTGGGATAAGAATACATTGGAATGCAAGCGAATTCTCACCGGACACACAGGTTCTGTCCTGTGCCTCCAGTATGATGAACGGGTGATCATTACTGGATCTTCAGACTCAACAGTCAGGTGTGTGCTTGTGATTTGGAGCTTTCTGTTTGCCTCTAAGGTTTTAACTCTGCAAAATGCTGAAATGGTCTCTTCTTAAATGTGTGCTGTTCAATCAGTTCCATGAAGTAGTTCAACATATTTGTTGAGCAGTGTGCTGTCCTTGTTTATCAGATGTCCCTGCAAATCGCTGTCAAGGAGAAATGAGAATCTAAGCAAAGGCCAGTCAAGGTCAAGCTGACTTAGGAAGGCCATCTGGCATTTCACCAAGGTTTTGCATGTTTTGACACTCCCTGAGAATGTTATAAATTCTCCTTGAGAATAGCTTTTTAAGAGATGAAGTTTTCAAAGCAAGTATGAAGGTTTCATCATCCATTCCCACTTAATTTTAACAAAATATATATGCCTAGATCTCCTATGACTTTAATTATATTTCAGCATGATGTTTCTTTTCATTCAGTCTTTCTAACCTCGCTTTCCTTCCAGTCTCCAGCAAAAGGCTGGACACCTCAGGGTAGCACTTGTAGTGCATGTCGTGCAGATTTGAAGTCCACTAGTCATATGACAGAATCCCAGAGAATGTAAGACCTGTCGTATAAATACAGGCACATATGAGTTAGTGAATTGCAATATGGACTTGGATGTGAAGGGGCAGGTCTGTCTTCTCCATGTTGTTATATATTCCCTCTTTGTCAGAGTGCAAACAATGCCCATGCAGTGAACTTGGAAACCAGAAAGCTGTGTTGGTGACCTTTTCTGAAGCTATTAGCATGTGTTCCCTATGGCTGCAAGCTCCTCATGGTTATCACTGTGCTTGTGTGTACACTACTACTGTTAATCTAATAATTTAATTACTGATGTGCTGCATGCAGTGTTGTGGTGCTGCTAAGTTTTGGGGTCCTGTCATTAGTAGGGATCCAGAATTTCGGCAGCATTGCCAAAAGAGACACCTGGAGATGGTGTAGGACAGTGTGGGAACTGCACCAGGCTAAACAGATCGCAAAAGGAGAGGCTGATTTCTGTAACAAGCACTATCATCTTCCGTATCAGGCCGGGCAGGCCAAATTGCAGACTGGCTACTTGCCCAGAAATACTTTGTTTCCCTATGTATCTATAAATGTTAGTGCAGACCCCAGAGGCACATAGGATGCATCGCTTTTATCCTTGTGTCTCCTCGGGAAGAGGGGCTTCATCCAATAGACAGTACAGATGGGCTCTTAATGCTTCTGGGATCTCAGGGATGCACTTGTCCAAAGAAGTCAGTGGGTCTCCAGCTCCTGTTCAGTTTGGCAACCCTGTCAGCAAACTGTTCGTATGTTAATGGCTCAGGTCTTTAGTTTTTTCTCCTTTGCATTTTGTAATTGAAATGCAGTTTTCTTTCTCATTTATAGTCCATAAGTTGATGCACTTCAGTCTCCCTAAGTTAGAAAATAAGACATTAGAAGTCTTTCCCACATCTTGCCTTTTCTTACTGCTTGCCTTATTGGCAGAGGAAAGTTTTAACTTCTGCAGTGTCTGATGTGCCTGATGATACAGCCATTTTCTACTCTCCTATAGTGTATTTGGGATACAGGTGTGACAGTGCCAAAAGAAATCTCTTTATGAAGGGTAGAAGTTTGCCAACAGAATAGCCCAAAAGAAACATTTTAAGGGCTTAAAATTGCATTTCGAATCCTAGAAGTTCTGTATGAAGATTTTATCTAATGTGCATCTTAAATTATCATTCAGTTGAAACAGTTGGTTCCAATAACATTAAGTTGACATAAATGCTGTGTCTTAATTTGGATATTCAGCACATTCCTGGAATGTTGCTGTGTGCCAGATGCACCTTAAGAAAAATGCAATTCATTGTGCAACTTGTGGCAATTACTCATATTTGTTTGAAAAGAATTGTCTTTCCTGCTTCTGTATAAATTATCCCTTGAGCTGGTAATCCTGTGAGAGTGGTCAAAAATTAAACCTGTCACTGAACTTGCTTCTCCACATTGACTGGAAATGAAACTATGGTAGGCTGACACAACCAGGAAACATCGGCCTTTAAGACCATCAGTCTTCTACCTTTCCTCAGCTCTAAATTAAAGAATGCTCTTTTCCTGGGTGGGTTATTTTTATGGTATTAACTTCATTGCAGGGTTTTTGGCTTCTGGACTTCCTCAATGTACGCATAATCAATAGGTTTATATAATACATTTTTTAATGAACTATTTAATAGATGTAGGTATAACCTGTGATGTTTGCTTCTCTAATATCACTAGAGAGTCAATTACCTCTCCCCATCCCTCTCTTGGCCTGCAGAAAATGCACTGTGCAGGTTTTTAACTCTTTTCTCTGGTTTGAAATCTGAAACTGCAGAGTGTGGGACGTGAATGCAGGCGAGATGCTGAACACACTGATCCACCACTGCGAGGCCGTGCTGCACCTGCGCTTCAATAACGGCATGATGGTGACATGTTCCAAAGACCGTTCCATCGCCGTGTGGGACATGGCTTCACCAACGGACATCACCCTGAGGAGGGTGCTAGTAGGGCACCGAGCTGCTGTCAACGTAGTGGACTTTGATGACAAGTACATTGTATCAGCATCAGGTGACAGAACTATAAAGGTGAGGTGTTTCAGAGGCTTTTTATTTGCAGCACTGGGGTATTTATTAATGAAGAACAGTAACCAGACAGGGAAGATGGTCCTTGGCCATTATTACCCCGATCTTCCTTTAGAAGCAGTATTCTTCCTGCTGCTTATTTCCACTTGTCCCTCCTCTCTTGAGCTTGCACAACTCGTTTACAGAGCTGTATGGCAAATCAGATCCAGGTACAGAGGCAGTTGAAAAAGAAATTTTTTTCTGTGTTCTTTTTCGACTTGACCACTTTCATAATCTGTTTCAGCATCAGTCATTCAATAGTTGTCAGAGGGCAGCATGGGCACAAAAGCGAAGGTGAGTGGATAGGAGTCACTTAAGCGTTACTGCTGTGATCCCAATCTGCAGTATTAAATGTCAGGAAAATGAAGATCATGTGTAGACTAAATCATAGCCAAAGAGTGCTATTTCTGGTGTGGCAAAAATCTTCTGTGTACAGTGACCCAAACTGCTAACAATTGCAGACTATAATCACAAGTCATCAGAGGGGTGATTTTCCCAGTCTTAATGGTAGCCTCTTCAATTAAGAACATTCTGGATGCATCTATAAATCATACAGACACCATCTTTTGTTAGTCTCTTCTTAATAATTTTGTCTCTGTGTGGTTCCCTCCTCCCTTCCTGTCACAGGTATGGAACACTAGTACCTGCGAATTTGTGCGCACCTTAAATGGCCACAAACGAGGCATTGCATGTCTGCAGTACAGAGACAGGCTAGTAGTGAGCGGCTCTTCAGATAATACTATCAGGTGAGAGACACACTCCCCATCGCAGAGTTATGTGCAAGCACGTTGTCTCTGATTCACTGGGATGTGCAGAGGTTAGGCAACTGAAGTGCTCTGTACCCTTGTCAACTTTGAAATATGCTTTCTTTGGTATAGAACATTGGGAACTACTGGAAAGAGATATTAGAAGCCTGTTTTACTGTGTTGTCTTTCATCCTCAGCATCTCAAGAGTCCCATACTAATCAACAAGTTGCATTGCTCTGACAATTCTGGTGTATGAAAGAGCTGGCAAGTACCACTTTCTGTGATGTCCTCTTGTGATATTTTAATTGGGCTATGTGTCTAGTTAAAGGGGTCAGATTTGCAGTAAGAGGCATTTAATCCTCTGCAGAAATCCTCCTGGGCTCTCGCCAAACTCTTCTTATGGTACTTGGCACCTGGTTAAGTTTGGAACAGCTGGTTTAGAGCATGAAGTTCAGTTTGCTGCCTTTTGCACTTCTCCAGCTGCCCTGGTTGCAATCTGAGATTTAACTCTTTCTGGTATCATGAGCCAGGATTTCTCCCTACATCCTGCAGCTGCTGGCAGAGGGATGTCCCATGAATTTCGGGGTACATGGAACAAGCTTGAATAATAGTTTACGTGATGTAGGAAAATGCCTCTGTCATGGAAATGGGACGAAGAGCAACCTCCCTTTTGTCCTTGTCATCTCTTTAAATAATTGTCTGCTTTCTGATAAAACTTGAAAGCTGGACGGTATGAGCAAAAACCCTTCATATGTCAGTAATAATTTCTCCTTGGTGAGAACGATTTATGCTATTGCTATTGCAAGCCTGTGGACTTGGCTTGCAACACACTGCCTCTCCCTGCTTTGCATTCTGTAGGAAGATGGTGGTCCTTTGGTTGACATCACAGGTCATTGTGCCAGATTTTAGTATAGGGCTGTCTGAGAGCATGACCAGAAGAGCTGGAACTTCCATCTCTTAATCACGGGGGAAAAGGTATTATAGGCATTGTGTAAGAGCAACACCACTTAGATGTGGTGAGAACTACTCTTCAAATAGAAAAAATAACCCTCTGCAGTTGTACTGTGAAACTTGGTCTCAGAAGTAGAGTAAGAAATAGTTAAATATTGCAGCAGTTAGGGAAGGATCTAAAATATGACTTGCAATGCTAATAAAAATAAATGTCAAGATAGTGATAATGCTAAAGAGGAATACTGTTACTTTTATGCTTACATTGGACAAAATCCCTAGTTGACAGATAAATTGTGCTAGAATTTCAGGAATGTCAGCAGTGAATCTTAATGGAAGTCGAGTTTAGCAGCAGTGTGGGCAAGGCAAAGGACTTACCTGGTCACACACTTTTCTCCCAACCATTAGCAAAGGACACAAGTCAGTGGAAGGGTGATAAAGAAAGGGCAGGTTTCTGAGTCATCATTGTGGGTGGCTTGGTGATTTCTATGTTTGATTTGAATTCACTGTGAAATGCCAGATGTTGTGTGTTGGCCTTTAGGAGAGGCTGATACAGAACTTAAAAGTTCATCATCCCTCAGTTGCAGGGAAACTTTTTTTCCAAAAGATGACTGTGATTTCTAGTTTTGCAACTGCAAACGTAAGGACATGTGAAGTAGCTGAGAAATCAGTGTCTTTCTTCTGTAGGGAGACTCCAAATATAAAAATTATTTGGGTTTTGTTTTAGGCCAGAAATTTCACCAGTGTAAGAGGACACAGCTACATAGACATCACTATCATTGTGCTGATTTCCACCTGCTAAAAAGTGGTCCATCGAGTTTAATCCAAGCATCTAGGGCCGAAGTTCCTAATTGCTACAGGCAAGCATTGTGTAGGAAAAAAAGGAACCAGAGAATTTAGGGCAAGAAAATAGAATCAGACTTTTAACATCTTGTGTTAATTTTTAAATGAGTGGTTGGTTTGCATGTGTGTATTCTAGTTCCAATGTGTGCATTCCTATGTCTGCTACTGATCTGTTTAGACTACAGCATTCTCTTTAAGAGATGGGGATTCAGGCTCACCTGCCTTCTGTACATCTTTCAGCTCTGCCAGGACTTCAAGTGAATTAAAGGCTGGGATAATTGAAGACCTCGCTCTACTTCTAGAAATTCTCCCAAAATTGTAGGAAGGAAGAGTGCATAAAATTTTTTTAGTTAGTTCTCAAGCCTTAAGATTAGTTCTTTTACTATTTGTTCCTTTGATTATTTAAAGAAGTAGACATTTGAGAAGCTTATCAAATCTGGGAGTTACCCTTGGCACCAACTGTGCTAGGAAACTCTGCTCTTAATAGCAGTTATCACCTTTGTACATGAAGGCCCATTCCCCATGTGACTGGGGACATGATCACCTCTTCTAATCCCATTCAGATTCAGGTAAAACCTCAAACTGGGACCTGAAAAAGGCCTGAATTAGTGTGATGCAGACTCCCAGAGCTGCTGGCAATCTCAGGATTGATGGCAAGGAATGGAAACACATGGCGCAAAAGTTCCTGGCACAGGATTGCTCTTCAAACCTTTCTGCACCAGTTAATCTCTGGCATTGTCCATCCTTGAGAGACTTAATGCTCTCTGACCAGCCAGAGTGCCTTTGGCTGACCTTTGCCATGAAGTTGCTTGCTCTGACCTTGACTGGTGTGCTGTACTCATGTGAAACCATTGGGGTCTTCACAGATTCCTGAGAGATCAACTTTACAGAATTACCTTGTGCTCCTTGTTGGCTTCAAACATGTGCATAGACAAATCCTTTCCCAGTTCTACAGTTACAAAAGAGTTCTGTTCATTCCTGTTGTCCAAAGTTGAGAGCAGCTTGTTGTAGCAAGACAGGTGCAATCATTGTCCACCAACCTTGGGCACATATCACCTGGATCTGGATTATTCCCTGGGGGACCTCAGGAGTAAAATATGTGGGGGTGGTTTATCTCTCAAGCGAAGTGACCTGACCCCTCAGCAGCTGTGCTGCTTCAAGACGTGTCACCCAGAGAAATTCCGCAACCCCCCCCTATTTCTCACTTCTGTGGAAAACATGTCAGTCTAAAGGCTTATGAATAAGCATTTAAAAACATTTGTGGCTGCTTGCTTTCCCCTAAGTGTCTGGGAGCTGCAGCAGTGCTCTATGAACAACTCTATAGAATACATGTCAAAGAATTTTAGTTCTTGTAGGCAAATAATCTTTCTTGATCCATGATAGTTGGGAGCCATGTCAAAGAGCTGACAAGAGCATGGAAAAAAATAGACTTACTTCATAACTGTTCGTAGCATTTCTTAACTGTTTTTTAAGGTACTGTGTAAGTGTAAAAATTAATATATTTTAATTTATTCTCCATGCTCAAAATCCATCTCAAAGGTCAAAACTCTGGGATATTTACAGTTGAGAGAATAATGTGTTGCTGGGTCTCTTACTGATATACTGTATGCTGGTTTGGGTGACAGAACTTTTCTAAAATTTTATTATTAGAAACAGTTCACAGAGAGCCACAGAAATTATTTGAGAGCAAGAAGAAAGTGCACTACAAAAGAATAAACATAGATTGTCCATTTTAGCTTATGCATAAGGTGACCAGATTACAGAGTAAACATACCTTCAGTGGGAAAAATGACAAATTAAAAGGGCTTGTTTATTCTTGTACCTTTCACCACTGTATTGATGACTTCGTTTGTCCGATGATAGTCTCCAAATCAGAAACAGGCATGTAGGGGAGCAGAAAGGGACACATGCCCTGTGAAGGTGATATTATCAATTGAAACAAGATGCCAGGGGGATTGGTAAATCTCCTTCTCTTAACATCTTAAAATCATGGCAGGACACTGTCATGAAAAATGAACCCCAGTAAAATAAAGTGAGGCTCACTGTGAAGATAACTGGGAGATACCTTGTGTACCTTACTACAGCACTAGATAACAGACACAACTGGTCTCTGAGTCACTTCCCGTGTGATACTGTAACATGACAGGGTCATGTTGAAAAGCATGCATCCACTTAACAGGAAAAGGAGTTATGAATGTAGTTTGTTTCTTCTATGTTGTTTCTTCTTTGTTGTTTCATCATAATCTTTATTTCCAAGTTTCCATTAACTACAAGCAAAGACCGAATGTTTAGTTACAATGATAAGGTATTAAAAAATTCTAATTGCTTCTTTGTACTCTCTTCCAGGCTGTGGGATATCGAGTGTGGGGCATGTTTACGAGTACTGGAAGGCCATGAAGAGTTGGTGAGATGCATACGCTTTGATAACAAGAGGATAGTCAGTGGGGCATATGATGGGTGAGGTTATCAGTGCAGTCAGTGCTTTGCATCTTCCTGTCTGTCTCAGTGTCTCCCATCCCACTTTGCTGCATCTTCCCTATAAATATTAGATTCTCTGTCTGCCATACTAAGAAGACCTTTTCATGGCCAGTTAATCAGGACCATGCTACAAAGCATAGCTTTTGTTCTTCTTTTGAAACAAGTCCATGTGATTTGATGTATGTTGTCCAGTTCTTTTGGTTGTAAGAATATCTGACCGACTCAACCTGAAAGCTCTTCTAGCTCAGCCACTCATAAGAACCATCTTTCCCATCTGTGATTATGTCTGCTGGACCATTTGCTGTTACAAACTAGTTGTCTGCACGCCCATGTTTCTGTTAGTTGTTGCCACCTGCTTTTTATGTTTTACTTTGTTGACAGCTTATTTTTTTCTCCCATTAAACTCTATAAGCTTTACGAAGGGGAAATTCAAGAACCAAGTCTGAAGAGCAGAAAGATTGCTATACTTTTCCTTAAACTGGTGTATTAGCTGAGTTGTACTAACAGTTATGTTTGTTTTTTTTTTGAGTACTTGCTCTTTTCTCTTTAACAGAGCTGTGGTGTTTGTCTATTTTTTCACTACTAGGAAAATTAAAGTATGGGATCTTGTGGCTGCTTTGGACCCCCGTGCTCCAGCAGGGACCCTCTGCTTGCGAACCCTTGTGGTAAGAGCTTTTGGTAGGGGTGTTGGAAAAAGTGTCCTTGATCAGGGCTATCTTGAGCCATGAAAACTCAGGTAATTTAGCCTCAGTCTGCAGGATCTAGAAATATTTCCGAAGGGTCTGGCTTTTTTTATGCGTCCAGCTTTTTTTAATGTTGCAAGCTATAAAGCATTAAAAGTTAGAACTTCTGGAGTTTTCACTCACTTTTTTGCAGTTTTATTCTGTGATTTGAAGTTTATAACTGAATCCATTTTTGAGAATGTCCTTCTTGGAATCCATGTGCCAGTGGGTTTACTTTACCCTGTGTGTACCTGATGAGGTAGTATTAAGTTGTCTGAATTGTTAACATGCAGTTTCTTGAAGAAAAATACTACATTCCCAATCTGAAGAGCAGGAACAAAGACACCCTTGTGATTGATTTTAACCGGCTTTTGGGTGTTAAAGGAAAAAGCAGGTAAGGACTGGAACAAACAGTGAAATTGCCTTAGCCTTAAACAGCAACTACTATTTTTGTGCCGTCCACTAGTTTTTAGTACAGGTCTGATGATGGTGTGGTTAAAATGCCATTGTGTGAGTGTTAACAGCATTCACAGTCATGCTTAACAGTGGCTCTGCACTGGTCTTACAGTAATGTGGGAAAGGTGTGAAAAAATGACAGTACAGTCAAGGCCATGGGATGGTTCCTGTAAGTGTCCCTCCACCACATTTAACCCAAAAAACAGGCACTGTTGCTGGGGATAAAGGAAGATTTCAACCAGTACCAAATTCTCCTTGAAAAAGAAGTACTAAATATTTCTATTTCTTAACTAGAAAATGTCGTTTGGGCAGTGCTTGGGTTGGTATGTTAGACCTTTTCCTGCTGTGGCACATGAGTGTAGTCTGCTCTAAACCAGGATCATACCAAGGCTGTCTGATTCTCTAAAAGTGTTTCTCACCCACTGAGCTGTGCTGGCTGACCTTCTGCACACTCATCCACCACCTGAATTGCTACTGTTGCTATAGATTTTGCTGAAATATTTACTTCACATTTGATGCAGGCTGTGAGGGTTACTGGGACTCAGCTGACAGGCAGTAGATCATTAAGCCATGCTAACTCTTTTCCAGTCATGTATTTGGACCTCAGCTGCAGAGTAAGAGTCCTTGAGTGCCTTGGATGCCTGCAGGTACTATGTTGAAACACCTTCATGTTAGCCAAATAGAACTGCAAATAGTATCATGGCTGAAATCCAGAAAACCCCTTTGTCATTGGCCACCCAGTTCCAAACTATGAAAGAACTCAGTGCCTATGAGCACATATCCTGAGAGTCTTCAGCTTGGTATTAGTAGTGTTCCTACTCCAACCTGAGACAAATGTGTGCCAACTAACCTGTGGACTTAATTTAACTGGTGTGATTTCCCCTGCATTTTCCAGCAGTGGACAGCCAAAGTGCCCCAGCTAATTATATTATAAATCAGAAGTGGTAGGATGGAAACGCTGTAGGAATCTCAACACATGGATACTCATAAATCCCTGTTTGATAGCAATAGAGGAGACCAAAAGAGGAGTGGGGAGCAAAGGAAGCTGTTGTGGTGCTTTTAGACTTTTATGACTACAGGGTGTCCTTATACCCACTTGCCCATGGTTTGTTTTTTTTTTTCCTCTCTCCTCGTCCTCCAAAATTAAACCTGGCTGCACAATGAACATCATGAGTCTCCTGCTGCTTGTGTTCAATTTTCAAACAGTAGGAGGAAAGTGCACAGATAACAAATGTTCGCTGCATGCCAGGTCCCTTCCAGTTTTGTCTTCCGTTAGCTGGAATGGTGGCCACAGGAATTTGACAGACGCTTTCCATGCACAGAATAAACACACAGTTCAGCTTTCCTTACGACCTAGACAGTCCAGGTAGGGCAGCCCTACTTAGCCCACAATGACAGGGATCACAAAGGGAGTTTTGGAAACGGGTTTTGAAAGTCTCTCTCTCTCTCACTGTCTCTATAAGCAATCCAGCAGTGGATCTGACTGTTGTAGTGATACTTTTTAGCAAGAACTTCTTTACTGCTACAACACAAACTCTGGAAAAACACTTCTTTGTAGAGTAGCTGAGAAGATAGAAACTCATGAGGTATGAGTTTATAAGACAAATTTGAGTTATAGTTAGAAGATCAGAAAGATTCCATTGATTAGAAATATTTAAAAATTTATCTTAAAACTAGAATCACACTGTGTGTGATTATTTTCAGATAATTTCAATTTAAAGATTTAGAAATTCACTTTTAAGCAGCTGTTGCACTTTGCAAACCGAGCTGTATTTTTGTAGTCCTGTTGTATAAGACAAAAGTTTCCCATTTAGTAACTAACAATTCTCTTTCACCTAAATGTTTGAGAAACCTGTGGTTTTAGTATTAAAGTATTTTAAGACAAGTTTTTTTCCTGACCCTCAGCGCCTTTCAGTGTGTAAGCATTAAAGAGAAGTGTGTATTGATGGAAGAGATAGGGCTCACCCTGGTTGCACAGTTCCTGTTCCCTGCTGACCGAGGAGGAGGCCACTAGTCTTGCAGCAGTGTAAGCACCAAGAGAAAATAAGTAACACAAAATGGAAAGCATAGTGGATTTGCTATGTGATATCCAAGATCTTGCCATTGCCTCCTGTTAATTATAATCTGAACTCTTGCCAAATCGTCATGCTATCTCCACTCAGCCTTGGAGCAGAATGCAAACTGCCTATAAAGAACGCCCTTTCTAGTTCATATTTTTAGAACTGCTTAAGAGGAATTATTACTGTGTCACTGGACTTTACAACAGGCTCCTTAGTGTCCTCCAGTGTTAAGCTCTTTCCTCTTCAGCAGTGGCAATGGTGCCAAGTTGTGAATGCAAAGTTGTCATCTCTTCCTCTGTAAGCTAGTGCATCTGGGAATGCTGTAATTTCAGGAATGAGTTTTGCCATGGAAAAAGGAAGACAGTGCACTTGTCAGTCCTGCCAGACAGAATTGCGTGGTGGAGAGAGTTTGGTTTGTTTTGCACAGTGTGTATCCAGTATTGGGATTTAAGGAGTAGCAGGACAACTGTAATATAAACTTCCTGCAAGCCAAGTACTCAGATATAGCAAACACTTTTCACTGAGAGAGTGTTATTTATGCTCTGTGATCATGATGCACAGTGTGTTATGTGGGGTTTACTGAGAAATTAATGTAATACTAGAATCAAGCCCAAGTTCATATTCCCTCCTTCATCCCAGGTGCCAACTAGTTTGCAAGGTAACATGCTGTGTCTCCCACTTGCATTTAGGAGCATTCTGGAAGAGTCTTTCGACTTCAGTTTGACGAGTTCCAGATTGTCAGCAGCTCACATGATGACACCATCCTCATCTGGGATTTTCTGAATGACCCAGCTGCCCAAGCAGAATCCACTCGTTCCCCGTCCAGAACATACACCTACATCTCCAGATAAATAACACTACACTGTACCTCACACTCGCACAGGTAAAAAAAAAATTAAAAAATAAAAGGAGGCTCAAAGGAGAACACTGGATGTAGCACAAGCATGCTGCTTGAATAATTATTTGGGTCTATCAGTATTTCTTATCTTGGTTGTACAGTAATTACAGTGTCCTGTAAAAGGACAAGAATGGTTTTGATACCTTAGAATAGGAACTTTATTTTAGGATTTGTGGCATGTGGCACCTATGACTTCCCCCAGAGAACTCCTCCTCCTCTGTCCATCATCATCAATAATTAAATCAGCTATCACTGCTGTCCAGAAGGAAGAAGGGTTTCTGCAGAGCGAGTAGAGCAGCTGCTGCCTAACAAGGGGATGCAGATGGCCTGACCCTGGGCAGTTGTCACCAAGCAGGAGGGTTTTGCCAAGAAGCGTCAGCTTTATTCCCTCCCTCGGAAGTGGTGACCATTCTCCTCACACTGCAGCAAGCTGATTCAAGATTACAGTTTGGCTAGGGGAGGAGACAGTGAGGAACAAGCCCAGGCAAATTTAATCAAGATGCATCAACGTGCAAAATAATTTACTGATAGGGCCTAGCCCTCGTTCTCTCTCACACAGCAGAGCTGTTAAATTGTTCATATCAGAGCCTGGCTGGTTTGCTTACCCTTTTGTCTTTGGTGATCACAGTGTGGGGAGGACATAATGTTTCATAGGTCCGGGTCAGTTGTAGAGTGAATTTGATATATATGAGTGAAGTGGGATAGCATGATTGCTTGCTTGGGTGGGTACATGCACAATTACTGTTAATAGCTTGAGAAAAATGGCAGAAGAACTAACAGGCTTCTGCAAAGGCGTTTCCACAGTGACATTTTCCCATGAAAATGCTCTGTCATGGGGCACGTCCTGGATCCTGTTTGATTGGTAACTGTACGGTGGTGCTCCAGACCTGTCAGATCAGCTTTCTTGATTTTCTCAAACACTCTGGTCAATCAGATGTTCTTTTAAATCATTAAAAGATTTAGTACGAATGGGGTTTGTTTGGTTTGTTCTGTTTTTCGTTCCCAGGACTCATTTAAGCTGCAGTATTTAAATGCCAGGACAAAAGAACTATCCACGTAACCAATACTTGCTGAAGAGAGAGGCTCTCAGACTTGTTTCTGGAACAAAGTTGGCATGCGGTTGATCTCAGACAGGGTCTACTCAGCGCGGCTGACTGCTAAAGTGCTGCTATATCAGAAGATGACTTTTATCTTTCATGAACAGTTAACATTTTTAAACCTTCCCATCCCTCTCCTCCCTGATCCCCCTCTTCATGTTCACTCTGCTTCCCTTTACCCTGTTTGGTTCCCCTCCAAACCCAGTCACAGATGTCCTATGAATATATTTAAGATGTTGCCAGAATGTGTTGCTTTGCTGTTAAGCAGAAGACTTATAGCCACAGCGCATCCTACTGAGAGTCACTTCAGGGTGGGTGGGAGGGTGGGTGGGGAGAAGGCTGCTACTGTCGGACTGAAATCAATATCCATTGCTAGGCCTTTGAAAAAGCATTCAGCTCTGAAGAGCAACAGAAACAAAGCAGCCAGACTATCACCCTCCCCCCCCAAACCCAGCTTCCCTGTGGCTTTTGGCTGTTCTGACTGCAAACTTATTTTTTTGTGGAGAGAGGACCCTTGAAATTTGACTATTATGAGCCAAACCAGTCTCTTTCCTCTCCTGCCTGCTATGCTAACCCTTTGGAAGCTGGATGTGTATTGTAATCTCCCTTAACATCTGCTCGTTTGGGGAATGCTAATCAATGAAAAGTTAAGCTCTATTCTGCCAAAGTCCCAAGCATGATGGGCTGGGGCTGAGATCCTGTCCACCCCTACCCCAGGTGAAATGTTGGCCCAGGACAGTATTTCACTAGCAAAGAGATTGCGTGTACCATCTTCCTCCTGCTGTTCTCCCTGGAGACAGTATGTTGCTGATGACTTATGAATTATTCTGTAAATTGGGGAAAGTTTGAGGCTGTGGTGAGAAGGAAAGCTGGGCATTGCTCTTTTCTTTCCATTCCTTCTCCCCTCAGAAAGGCTGTAGCTGGGTGCTGGAAGAGGGCGCAGCTAAAAACCTTGTGAAGCTCTCCAGAGCCATCCTAGAGTGGAGACACTGCACAAACACTCTGACCATTACAATAAGACTTTGCCTCACTTGAATGAGCAAATGCACAGTCCTCTGGAGATGGCAGATTGGTAAAATGAGTGTGGCCATGAGGACAATCATTGCATTTAGCAGTGACTCGAGGCCAGTTCTGCAGCATTTCTGGGGCTAGCCTTGCCTAGAAGGCATTTGGAAGGAGAGCCTGTGGTGTGCTTGTCTAACCTGCATGCATGCTGCACTGTGATTTAGGGATGTGGGCTGATTAGTCCTTTTGCTGATAGCTTTGATGAATCTTTGCTTTCTAGCTGAGACTTTTGCAAAATCTGATTGTTTAGAAGATAAAAATAGCCTTGAAGAGAAGGGACATGAGAAACAATTCTGCATGTCTCTGAACTAGACAGAAGTCCAAGGGAAAACAGCTGTCTTCACAGAGCTGGAAGGAATTGCAGCAGGCCTGCATTTAGATCAGGAAAGACTGTGTAAATCAGCCCCTGGCCATTCCAGTTTTGTGCCCAGATCTCCTGTACGTCTGAAATAACCTCCACTGCCTTAGTAGGGAGTTGCTCCAATCCTACAGTAGGAAATTGATGCCCTTTATCTCTGAGCTGAAGGGGTTCAAACAGGCTTTGTTAACACCCTCTGAACTTGGGAGATGGGATTTTTTTTTAAGCTATTCTCATCAGCTTCACTTAGCTGGGGAAGCAGTTGCATTGTCTCTAATTGCTTGGGATGCGCATTTTCCACCAATGAAATTTAGCAAGGAGCTGGACCAGGAGTCCCCAAAGAGCAGTCCAGAGAACTTGAATAATTTTGGTGACAGCTAAGACAGACAAGAAGGTGATGGAGTTACAAAGGAAGGAAAAGCTGGTGCTTGGGGAATACCTAGAGCAGTTTCTAAGGCTTGTGGGCAGCAGTGTTGAGCACTCAGTTCCCTGTATTTTCATTGAGCCTAGAGGCTACATCAGCTCTAAAGAGCATCTCAAAGCCTGTGATGACACTCCTATTTTTGAACTACTGCTGTGAGAGTCAAACAGGTTAACAAGTCTGTTCAGGTAACACTGGCAGAGTGACTTACCTCTGCAGAGTCATAAAAGTTCTGAGTCACAGTGATAAGTTCATCCACAACTAATTTTGGCAGTACTTTTTAAGCCCAGGAAGGCTGTTTGGGCTTTCAGATAGCTCCACATATCATGAATACTGCAGTCCCAAAGCCAAAATGGCAAGGGAGCAGAGAGAATCAAAGTTTACATCCCAAACTTTGCTGAGTTCAAGTTCTGAGTCTTAATGCTATTTGAACACTGTCCCTCTAAGTTCAGGTATTACCAGGTCTGCAGCATGGTTGCATGTCAGCAGGGCTTTATATGACCTTGGCTGTAGATTTAATAATTATTTTCCTCAGTTTGGTTATCCTCTGTCTTTTACATTTGGGTTACTGTAGAAAACAATGATCTGTTCCTCCAGCCACTGAAAACTGCAGAACTTTTTAATATTTTAATTGTGTCTTTGTGGCCAGCATGTACAAGGATGCATTTTATTTTGCTAATTGAGAGAATTTGGGAGAACTGGAAGACTGGCTGACCAAACAGAGACACCATTGTAGATTGTCCTTGGTTGTCATAGCCCTGCTGCTCCATGCTGCTATTCTCTTGGGTCTTCAAGTGGTACCGTAGTTTGTACTTTGCTGTATAGAGCTTTTTAAGGTACATTTAGCAAGCAACTGCTGAAATCCATTTTTGGCACATGGTAAGAAAGGTGTTTTACCCTCAAGAAGGGACTGTGTGGGGGTACTTCACACAGAACCCCAGAGGGGCGAGGATTCCTACCCCACTCCCCGAGTTGTAAAAATTTTCTCATGGCTTAAGAAGGAAACTGAAGTTAACTGATCTAACTTGAACTTGAAACTACCACAGCCTGACATTTGGTGGTGTTTATTGTGCACCCCAGGAGGAGCAATTTGGTAAGTAGATCTTCCAATGTCAGAAGAATGTGGCTTTTTCAAACTTCCTGCCCTTCCCTTAGGATATGTGTGCATGTGTGTGTGAGTGTGCAAGAGTACATGTGAGAGAGAGGTTTCAGCATGAACTGGATGGATAATCCCTCAGCCAGATTGGAGTAATTGCAGAGTTTATAATGAAAATAACTAGAATATGCCTGCTGAAAGGAGATTAAAAAGGGCTGGAAGTGTCTGTGGGCTTTAAGTGTTGCACATCGCTTTGAAATGAAATACCTCTGCTGCGTAGAGATCGGCACTTCTCCCATAAGTTGGAAGCTCACATGAGCCTTCCACCTTGAACCATGGGATGGAAAGTACTGGAGGTGTGGGACATTCAGAGCAGGACAATCTGTTATGGCCACACCATCTCCTGCTTGTGAATCCTTTGCAGTAGAGCACAGTTTTGCTGCAAATATTTCTCGTCCTAGGAGGAATACAGCTTGCTTTCAAATATGCAAATAGAAAATGGCATGAAGGAATTTGCAGTGAGATAACTCCTACAGCTGTCTCCTCTGGAGCAGCTCCTCTGCTCCATGTTAACATTCAAGGACAGACACATCCACTGTTGGAATGGAAGAATTCAGATGACAAGTTGAGAAGTCTGTGTTCATCAGAAACATTGAAATGCTTTACACTTGTTTCTAAACTGGAAGCTGACTTGGACCACCATGCTCTACCTACCCACCACCTGCTCCTGCTCCAAAGGATCCTTTTTTCTTTTTCTTCATTTTTTTTGAACACTGAAAAAGCTGGAGAGTATCATGTGCATTTCTCCACTCCCAGGTATGTGTATCTGCCCCTTCCACATGTTCCTTCCTCAGTCTGAGCAGAGCTCCAGGCCTGGTTCTGAGTTTTCTGGCATCCTGGCTCCAATGGGAAGCACATATCCAGGTTGGGCTCTTGCTTCCTTTAACGCCATTTTAGATCTGCCTTTTATGGCTGATTATTCCTAAATTCACTGGGGAGGAGCAGTATTTGCATTTGATAAATTGCAAATACTAGCAGCTCTTTGTAGCTAGAGAAGTGGATAAGAAGGAACAGCCAGCCTTCTTACTGCAGGCTTGCTCTTAGTTGTGGGAGAAAAAGGAGATGAAAAGTGGTGGAAACTAGGGGAAACGTGGGGGTAGATGGATCTCTACAGAAGTGGGGACAGTGCTGAAAATAGATCTTTTGGCTTGTGCAGTTGAAAGACTTGGAAGAATAGAGGTTTTCTGTGAGAACATCAGAAGTCATCAGGAGGTGATCAAGACCTCCTATTGTTGAACTTGTCGGTTGATGCATGAGGAGAAAGGAATGGACTAACCTGCACTTGCCAAGAGAAGAATGAGCTTTGCCAGGGTCTCCAAGTGGCATGCATGATGCATCTGACATGCTGAGCTTTGCCCTACTGTTCCCCCCAAAGCGATAAGCATCAGCTTCCCAGAAGGAGGGGGGAAACAGCAAGTGACCCAGATGTCCTCAGAGGTGGTCTCCATATGAAATCCTTCTGTCCTGCTGGCAAATCCCTACTGGATTGATTGGCATGAGGGAGTCACAGTCTTTCTGCCCTCACTTTTAATTCAGAGACTCACAGAAGCAGCAGGTCCCTTGGGTGTGTTCGTTCTCCACACCCCAGCAGTGGGTTGAGAGGTACAGCTGCCTGCTGAGGCTGAGCATTTGGCTTCCCCTCCTTTGCCCCCTTACCCCTTTTTTTTTTTTTTAATGAGGTATAGCCAAACTACTGGCAAATCCCCAAAGCATCTCTCTCAGGTAGACCCTTGGCACACTGCCAGAAACTTTTCCCATTGCTTACTGCTTGTTCCCAAAGACCGTTGGGATTCCACATTTCTTGTCCAGCAGATATCCCATGGGAGTTGGCAACACTGGTTAATCCTTAGTGATATTAAACTGATACTTTCAAAATCAGAGGGATACTGATGTACATGGATGTGCAACAAGCCCTTTAGACATTATAGCCAGCTCCTAAATAAGTTCCTTTTTTTAATAGCCTATCACCCTAGAAGATATCCTGATTTCTGCTCAAGCAGGAGCCAAGTGCAGCTGTGGCCAGAAAATCAGCATGAAATACCAGTCTTTGTCACAGAGCAGCTCTGCTCATACCTGCACAATGAATTTGTTGCCTTCACGGGCAAAGTGTTTTAACCTGCTGGCACTTAAGCACTGGTTTACCTCTGAGCAAAACTCCACATGCAGGAGGCAGGGCAGCCTGTCCCGGGCTGCTTGCAGTGGCTTTTACAAGGAGCTAGCTGTGAGAATTTTTGGGCAATTCAATGTGA